TTACTAATCTACCTTAGTGTAAAAAATGTACATACTGTCAATTTTTTTTAAAAGAAATACGCTTTAGGGATGCCTGGCTGGCTCAGTTGATGGAGCATACAGCTCTTGATCTTAGGGTTCTGAGTTTGAGCCCCATGTTGGGTCTAGAGCTTACTTTTAAAAAAAGAAAAAGAAGAAAGAAATACGCTTTCTTGTGCTAACATAACTGCTGTAGCTTCTTGTGTACCATAGATCTATGTAGCTTCAGATTTAGTACCTGTGAACAGACATACAAGACATTTATTACACTTTTTACCAAAGGGAGTTACCATGGTACTACTTTTGTATAAAACTTGTCATCCCCCTTGCCCCAACTTTTTTTTCTTTATTCTTTTCTCTTTTTTTGGTAAATAAACAACACTTGGTTCTTAAGGAATAAACTCTCAACCCAAGACCCTTGTCCTCACTAGAGAACTGTTATGGGGCAGGGATTTGGGCTTCAGTTCTTATCCTCACTATAAACAAGATTTTGCTTTAAATAGTTAGCAGTTAATTGCACTTGTCCCAAATCAAAATATTCCCGAATTTTTAAAGATTTTATTTATTTTATTTTAGAGAGCACGAGCAGGGGGAGGATGAGAGGGGGAGAGAGGCAGACTCCCCTCCCAGGCACCCCTTGATGGTTACCTTTAAATGGATGGCTTTTTAAACACAAACTAAAAGCCTGATTGATACTTTTTTTTTTTTTTAGATATTATTATTTTGTAGGGAGGGGCAGGGGAGATGGAGAGAAAATCTTAAGCAGTCTCCACACCCAGCGCGGAGCCTGATGCAGGCTCTATATCATGACCTGTGCTAAAACCAAGAGTCAGATGATTAATGGACCGCGCCACCCAGGCACCCCTCCAAAATTTTTAAATAGAATACTTTGTTCTTTAGGTACATGATTTTCCCCCTTATTTCAACTGTTTGGAAGTATTTTATATTTGGGTAAGGTGTCTAGCTATGCAGTTTGCATTTCTCTGTATTTTTTTTTTCTTATCCTTATTGGAAATGGGGGTGAACAACTTATATACCAAACTGGTATTTGAAAGAAGTATATAAGGCGTATGGTAAAAATGGAGTTGGGAGAGAAAAGATTTGATAGATTTTTAGCAACTGCAAATGAAGTGGGGGGGGGGGGCTTTATTTATTTATTTATTTATTTTAATTACCTAAATGTAGACTAGCAGGCATTTAAACATTAGGATTTTTATATGTGTTCAGCCTGGAGTTTCTGAACAAAGACCAGCTGAGCCCCTCCTAGTACTCTATAGATATTTCTCAGCAGCCATTACCCTAGTTTAGTTGTAAAGTAACCAACGGTATTTTGTGTAGTGTTGTTTGCTTTTTAATTAAAAATCCCCAACACCAAAGAAAGAAAGAAATTATAATACATTCATTTTAACTCATATAGTAAAATGTCAAAAAATGTTCAACCTAGAACAGGTGAATAGGCAAGTTATGTTACTGAAAATTGTGGTAAAATACTCAACAGAATTTACATCTTAATCATTTTTAAATGTGTAGTTTGGTGGCATCAAGTACATTCACATTGTTGTACAACTATCACCACCATCCATCTCCAGAACTTTGTTTGTTTGTTTGTTTGATTTTATTGATAAGTAATCTCTACATCCAGTGTGGAGCCTGAGCTCACAAGCTGAGATCAAGAGTTGTGTGTTCCACTGACAGAGCCAGCCCGGCATTATCTCAAACTCTCTCTACCCGTTAAACCATAACTCCCCATTCCCTACTCCTGCCAGTCCCTAGTAACCACTGTTCTATTTTCTGTCACTGTAATTTGATTACTCTAGGTACCTCACAAAGGTTAGTTATGTTTTTATAGAAATTAAATGTTAAGTGGTCAGCACGATCCCGTGACCATATCCTATTCAGCAAGAAGCAGGCATGATAATGAGGCCGTGACTTTAGATATGTTTGAGACCGTGGAACTGGAGTGGAGTGGGGTTTGTGTATTTTTATGGCTCCATCTTTAAATGTTTAAATCTTTTGAGTCTTCTGAATATATTTCATGAAGCAAGTAAGAATAGTTTTATTTTTTTCCAGTTACTTAGCCCCAATACTGTTTACTGAGCAACTCAGTTTTTCCCTACTGATTTAAGAAAAGCTTTACTTTAAAGTTTCAACATATTGGGTGCCTGGGTGGCTCAGTCAGTTAAGCAGCTGCCTTCAACTCAGGTCATGTTCCCAGGGTCCTGGGATTAAGCCCCGCATTGGGCTCCACACTTAGTGTGGAATCTGCTTGAGATTCTCTCTCTCTCCCTCTGCCCCTCCTGCGCGTGCGTGTCTTTGCTCGTTCTCTGTCAAATAAATAAATGAATCTTAAAAAAAAAAAATACAGCATTTTTCATAGAGCTAGGACAGGTAATCCTAAAATTTCTATAGAATATTTACAAAAGACCCTGAATAGCTAGAGCAATCTTGAAAAACAAAACTGGAAGTATCACAATTCCAGACTTCAAGTTATATTACAGATCATAGAAGCCAAGGAAGTATGGTACTGACACAAAAATAGACACACAGATGAAGGGAACAGAATAGAAAACCCAGGAATAAACCCACAATTTATGTGATCAATTAATCTTTTAACAAGGGAGGAAAGAATATACAGTGGGAAAAAGACCGTCTCTTCAACAAATGGCGTGGGGGAAACTGGACCACTTTCTTAACACCATACACAAAAATAAACTCAAAATTGATTAAAGACCTAAATGTAAGAGCTGAAACCATAAAAATCCTAGAAGAGAGCATAGGTAGTAATTTCTTTGATATTGGCCGTAGCAGCATCTTTCTAGATATGTTTCCTGAGGCAAGGGAAATAAAAACAAAAATAAACTATTGGGACTACATCAAAATAAAAAGCTTATGCACAGCAGAGGAAACAGTCAACAAAACTAAAAGGCAACCTACAGAATGGGAGAAAATATTTACAAATGACATGTCTGATAAAGGCTTAGCATCCAAAATATATAAAGAACTAATACAGTTCAGTACCCAAAAAACAAATAACCAAGTTAAAAAATGGGCAGAAGATATGAACAGACATTTCTTCAAAGATATACAAGTGGCCAACAGACACAATGAAAGATGCTCAACATCACTCATCATGAGGGAAATGCAACTCAAAACTACAGTGAGCTATCACCTCACACCTCACACCTGTCAGAATGGCTAAAACGAACAACACAAGAAACAAGTGTTGGTGGGAATGCAAACTGGTGCAGCCACCGTGGAAAACAGTATGGAGGTTCCTCAAAAAGTTAAAAATAGAACCACCTTAGGATCCAGTAATAGCATTACTGGGTATTTACCCAAAAAATACAAAAACTTGAATTCAGAGGAATACATGCAACCCATGTTCACTGCAGCATTATTTACAATAGCCAAATTAGGGAAGCAGTCCAAGTGTCCATTGATAGATGAACGCATAAAGAAGATATGTTACACATATACAATGTAGTATTATTCAGCCGTAAAAAGAGATTGAAATCTTGCCATTTGCAACAACACGGATGGAACTAGAGAGTATTGTGCTAAGTGAAATAAGTCAGAGAAAGACAAATACCATATGATTTCATTCATATGTGAAATTTAAGAAAGAAAACAAATGAACAAAGGAAAAAGAGAGAAGCCAAGAAACAGACCCTTAACTCTAGAGAACAAACTAATGGTGACCAGAAGGGAGGTGGGATGTGTGAAATTGGGGATTAAAGAAAATAAAATTAAGGTCTTAATTTTTCTCCCCATAGGAAGAACTGAAGAATAAGCAATTCTGTTTTAACCTTTTTAATTTTATGCTAAATTTATTTTGCTCTAATAGCACAGTTAACTCTCATTTTGTTGTATTAGTTAAGAGAAATATTGGCAGAAGGAAATGAAGTCAGTTTATAGTAGGCCCATTTGAGTGAGGGCCTTGGGAAACCCATCAGGAATAAGGCTCGGGATCGGAGAAGGCAGAGACAAGGCGGCAGGCAGGGAGCCTTTTCAGCAGGGCTCACCATTTTTGTTTGTAGGACTTTCTAGGAAATCTTTTTGAGCTGTACTTGTGTGCTGCAGGCACTCTGGGTGAGCAGCCTAGATTAGGTTTAGTGCCCCTCACAGAAGCAAAATCAAATGCCATAAACCTATTCTTTTTTTAATTAGGTGTATTTTGCAATTTTAATGTTCTTCAACTCATAAACATTTGTAGGAAGGGTGAGGGGCAAATAAATAGTCTCGTGGCATGACACTTATTTTCTGCTTGAGAGACATGTTCCTTTCCCCTCCATTCCTTTTAATCTTCCTGTTTCCTTGACACCTGCTTCTGAACTCCATCTCGTCTCTCCCTGCTGTGACGGTGCGCTAGCACTTCATGGTACCCAAGGCTCTTTGAACTCGTATTTCCCACCAACTGTCAGTTGCAAAATAAGGTTGCTTTGTTTGGGAGGGAAAGGGTAGAATCCTTTCTGAATGTCTCCTTTTCATTTGAAGCAGGAGCACTTCAGAGACAGTTGAACTGCTTTTAGGTTTTTCTTACCACCCAGCTTTTTCTTCTGAGAGATCCTGCCATGAACACGGTTCTGTTGATGACATCGATTTGTTGCTATGGAAATAGTGGTAATGTCACAGATTCAGCCCAATGACTTTACTTCAGGTTCATGCAGGAGAAATGCACAAGGCTTTAGGGGAGAACCTCATTAAAACTGAACGCTATCAATTATGAGCAGGTGAAAGGTAAATGGAGCCAACCTTTTATATAATGAAAACAGAAGTGAACCCCTAGCTGATTGACTGCATGCATTTGAATACCCCAGCATGAATTCTGACCCATGAGAGTCTTTGACAAAATAAAACATTTACACTTTCTCAGAGTATTTCTTCTGCTTAAGTTTAAATCTTTTAACCTGCATTATTTGCACTAAAATTGTCTTTGTTTTGATCCTCAGGACATGGGCAGCAGCAGATAGTTCCTTCCTCAGGACATGGGCAGCAGCAGATAGTTCCTTCCTCGGTCTCAGCGGCCAACCCACCAGCCAGCAAGCCCCAGCAGCAGAATGGAAGCTCAGCAATGGGTAAATGGCCACATGAGGACATGTGCTAATTATATGTATCAGGCTTCTGAATAATGTTTTGAAATGTAATCTGGGACTAAAGGGAATTTTCAAAATGCCGTTCATGACTGTTGCTTCTTGCAAAGGAGAAGTCCAGTTCTCATTGTAAAGTGTATGATTGAACAAATGATTAAAGATAGTCAAAGATACTTAATATGCTTATTTTTATGAGGATGATATACTGTTCTCTGTTAATAATAGTTTATCTGGTACTTTCTCACGTCTCACGTTTTACACTCTCTTGACTTTGCGAATTTACATACCTTTTAAATTCTCGCCTTTTAACTATTTGGAATCCACTTGTCTCTCTCCAAGTTTCCCATTTCGGGTTCTCATCGGAATTTATCTTAACGTGAAGATGGTATCATTTATATTGGTCATAGGTTCTGCTTCCCAGTCTCATGGATGAGAAATAGTTTTTTCCTTTAACGCTCTCTGCAGTAGGTCCTGAGAGGCTATAATGGAACCATTTTGTTTACTTTCTGGCCTTCGCCTTATGAATTACTATTGAAAATGATGATTTGGGTTGGATTTATTTTTAGAGGTTGGATTTATTTTTAGAGGTTCTTTTTTCTGTCACAGCTTCTTATACTCCACCTCTTCCCCTCCCCTCAACTATTGCTAATTACAAATGCTGAGATTTTAAGGCAAGGTTAAGACGTCACTAATATTGTTGTGAAACTTTCAGGACATGGGACTTTTTCCCTATCGGTCTTTGATATTTTTATCTACCTTGCAATATCTGTTAATGTACCTTCTATCTATCTCCCTTTATAAGTGGATCTATTGATTTCATTTTTTTAAAGATTTTATTTAAGAGAAAGAGTGAGCGAGAGAGAGCGAGATTGAGAGAGAACACAAGCGGGGGAGGGGCAGAGGGAGAAGCAGGCTCCCCGCTGAGCAGGGAGCCCGACTCGGGGCTCAATTCCAGGACCCCGGGATCATGACCTAAGCCGAAGGCAGACGCTTAATGACTGAGCCACCCAGGCGCCCCATAAGTGGATCTATTTATATACAACTCGCAAATTCTGTACTTTGAAGGAGGTCATGGAATAGATTTAGTATCTAAGATGATAAATAATCTAATAGTCACTTCTTTAGGCTGAACTACAAATAGTATGTTATTCTTCTCCCTCCTCCCACAGATTTATTTTCCAAATTGTCTATCTTTGACTTATGTTAACATTTATTTTTAAAAATCAGTTAATGTTGTCTAAACACACATCAACTGGGTGGCAAAAGAAAAAAAGACTGGCTGTGTATTGAGGGGGAAGCATGTGTGTGTGTGTTATATATAACTGTATCTTATAGAGAATATTAGGTATGTATACACACATACATTCTTCAGAGTTCATGTGCTTCCTTGTGTAATCTTGAGGCAATTATTACTGTTGTGTGTATAGTTCTCTCTTGACTCCCCAGTTAGAGTAGAAAATGTTAAGATCCAGGACAGTCTATGTATAGTTTTTACTAAGTGCTACAAATACCTAGAATAGTGTCTTACAGGATGTAGAAACTCAATAAAGAAATGCTGGGGGTGCCTGGGTGGCTCAGTCAGTTCAGCGTCTGCCTTCTGCTCAGGTCATGATCCCAGGGTCCTGAGATCGAGCCTCACATTGGGCTCTTTGCTCAGCCCGAGAGCCTGCTTCTACCTCTGCCTGCCGCTCCCCTTGCTTGTGCTACTCACTCTCGCTCTCTCTCTCTGACAAATAAAATCCTTAAAAAAGAAAAAGAAATGCTGAATAATGGTAGATTTACATTTCCAGCCAAATTCCATCCTAAAGAAATGCTTTGGTAGAGAAGATATCAAGTAAGTGGACGAAATTATATTTTCTGAATTTGGAGGTTGAAACTTTGTAGAAACTGTGCATATAAAGGAGCTCATGTGTTTATAGGCTTTAGTTACCTGCTCTTTCCAAGCACATGGTAGCTGCTCAGGCTTGGATAAAAAAGCAGAAGGGATCCTGGTGCCCAGCCACCTAGTTGTCTTGAACCAAAAAGTGATTCTTGTCCTTTGCTCCCAACTAAACCCAGTCCCACAGACTTCATTATAGACTTTTCAGTACTGTAGATCTATTGAACACGGTGAGTCTTCTCAGGATGTTTTAAGGTAAAATATTTGTGATAGGTATCCTTTACCTCATATGGTTCATTCAGTATGTCCCTTACCTCCTAGCCTTTCTTTTTTCTTTTTTTTAAGATTTTATTTATTTATTTGACCGAGACAAAGAGAGAGGGAACATAAGCAGGGGGAGTGGGAGAGGGAGAAGCAGGCTTCCCGCAGAGCAGGGAGCCTGATGTGGCAGCTGAGCCACCCAGGCACCCCTTGCTTTTTTTTCTTATGCATCTAGTGACTTGCTGTCAGTTTTATGGTCAAGAAGGCTGGTTGATTTTCTCTGACCTATTATCTTGCCCATTGATACAAAGGACAGTTTAAGAAGGATGGGCTTCTGGGGTACCTGGGTGGCTCAGTTGGTTGGGCGTCTGCCTTCGGCTCGGGTCATGATCCCAGGATCCTGGGATCAAGGCCCACATTGGGCTCCCCACTCAGTGGGGAGTCTGCTTCTCCCTCTCCCTGTGCAGCTCCACCTGCTCATGTGCTCTCTTTTGCAGCTCCCCCTGCTCATGTGCTCTCTTTTTCTCTCTCTCACTCTCTCTCTCTCTCTCTTTGTCAAATAAATAAATAAAATCTTTGGGGGCGGGGAGAAGGATGGGCCTCCGAAAGAGCATTGTCTATTCTCAGTATAATTATTATCTTGACTTCAGTCAGAGCTTCAGTTAGCAAATGTAGTAAACTTCTGTGTGCCCAGGCCTTCATTCTCAGTTGCTTTTCTACCTCCTGTTTGGGTCTCTATTTGATCTCCATATCTCTTGATTACTAAAAAGGAAAAACTTTGCCTCTCATTTTGTTTGATTTCACCAGCAACACCTCAGTCATTGAGAGTTAGTACAAAATTTATATAAAATTTACATAGAATAATGATGGTCCTCCTTTGTGTTTGTTTTTAAAGGTTCCACTGCATCTAAGACTTACGGTGTCTCAAAGACACTTGGAAAAGCTGGAGGTACCAGCCTCGTGAACAGTTCTGGAGGAACGCAGGTCAAAGTGGTACCCATTGCCAGCCTCACCCCTTACCAATCCAAGTGAGTTATTCCATAGAGTAAGTTCAGAATGTGCCTATGATGTGAGGTTAGAGGTTATTACGGGCTCTTGAGTTATTTATGCGTGAACGTCGGGGTTACCATACATAAAGTAAGTTTCATCATTTTTTTTTTTTTAAGATTTTATTTACTTATTTGACAGAGAGAGACACAGCGAGAGAGGGAACACAAGCAGGGGGAGCGGCAGGCAGAAGGAGAAGCAGGCTTCCCGCTGAGCAGGGAGTCTGATGCGGGGATTCGATCCCAGGACCCTGAGATCATGACCTGAGCAGAAGGCAGATACTTAATGACTGAGCCATCCAGGCACCCCCATCTTTTTTTTTCCTCCAACGGGGGAGGAGGGTACAAATTGTGGCAAACTTCAACTCTCTTACCATAAAAGAATGGCAAGAAAAGCAATCTGCTATAGCCTATGGAGTTTCATTTCTTTTGAAAGAATTTGAATTGAAAAATATTTAATGCTTAAAGAATCCATTTATCGTCTTATGAGTAAAAATAAATATTTTTTGTAATTCAGAAGGCGTTTCATCTTCTCATGATATAAATGACTTTCAGTCTAAAAACTGTTGCTATGATTTAGTAGACTAAGAGAATCTGTACTGTTTGTATAGCCACATTATTAATATACCCTGAACAGATATTTTCCATTAAAAGTTAATTTTAGCAGTTAAAAATTAGTGAGTTCTGGGGCGCCTAGGTGGCTCAGTCGTTAAGCGTCTGCCTTAGGCTTGGGTCATGGTCTTGGGGTCCTGGGATCGAGCCCCGTATCGGGCTCCCTGCCCAGCGGGAAGCCTGCTTCTCCCTCTCCCACTCCCCCTGCTTGTGTTCCTGCTCTCACTGTGTCTTCCTCTGTCAAATAAATAAATAAAATCTTAAAAAAAAAAAAAAAAGTGCGTTCTCTTTCCAGAATTCTTTCAGATATGTTTTTATCTAATCTTCAATTCTTTGCAGTGCAGGGAAAATGAGTAAGGTAACTAATGTGCCCAACACTTGTGTTCATTATGGGCCCCAGGACTGGGTATTGGATCTTGTACCTCTTTTTTTTTTTTTTTTTTAAGATTTTATTTATTTTGACAGAGACACAGCAAGAGAGGAACACAAGCAGGGGGAGTGGGAGAGGGAGAAGCAGGCTTCCTGCTGAGCAGGGAGCCCAATGCGGGGCTCGATCCCAGGACCCTGGATCATGACCTGAGCCGAAGGCAGACGCTTAACGACTGAGCCACCCAGGCACCCCTTGTACCTTCTTTTTTTTAAGTGGCCTCTGTCTGAGGTCATACCGCTTTAGCATGTTTTCTTTTGGTGGCTTACCAATACCATGTCCCATAATTTTGTGTTTATATATTCAAGGTGTGTTAGAATGGAGACAAGTTTGACACCAGTTTTATCAGTTCCCATAATTGAAAATAGTGGCAAAATATAATTGCTGGTATTACTGCATCTTCTAGCTTAGAACCTTTCATTAAGGGGATACCGTTGCCTTGGTGATGCTTTTTGGAGAAGGGAGAGAGTTTATAAATTTACTAATTTGACAGGAGAATGAGTTAGTGTTAAATCATCTTGTATGTTTTACTACTTGCTTATTCTACAAACTGTCAAACCTGTATGTCATCTTGGGGTTTTAATTAGCTGGATTAAAATACAGCTTACATTGAAAAATGGAATATGCATAAGAAAGGCTGTAGGAAGATGATAGGGAACCTTTTAGATCTGTCCCAGGTAAGCCTCTGAACACTAATATAATCTATTTGATTTTTAGGTGGACTATCTGTGCTCGAGTTACCAACAAAAGTCAGATCCGTACCTGGAGCAATTCCCGAGGGGAAGGGAAGCTTTTCTCCATAGAACTAGTTGATGAAAGTGTGAGTATTTGATTTGTCAAGTGGGCAGATAGGAGCAGTCTGAGAAACAGGCCTGTGTGATGAAAAACCGGAGTAGGCCAGAAATAAACCTGATTGTTATTATTGTCTTTCCTCTCTTATAGTCTTTTGATGCTGTCTAGGAGCAAAGGGTTAAAGGTCTTTTTTTTTTTTTCCCAGAGGGGGTTGTGTGGGGGGAGGGGGAGAGAGAATCTTAAGCAGGCTCCAAACCGGTTTGGAGCCTGACATGGGGCTCAACCTCTCATCCCTGAGATCATGACCTGAGTTGGATGCTTAACCAACTGAGCTTGCCAGGTGCCCCAAAGGGTTAAAGGTTTTAAATAAAATCCTTTTATTTTATTTTATGA